ACTATTATGTCATCCTGGTAAGCGAATGCGTGACATCTCGGGGCCAATTACTTTTTTCCAAAACTCGCTGAAACGTTGCCGACGCCGAGTGAAGTCCGAACGGCATTACCCTCCACTGAAACAGACCTTTGCCTGGTACCGTGAACGCCGTATATTGCCTGCTACTCTCTTCCAGTGGGATTTGCCAGTATCCATCCTTCAGGTCCAAACTGCTGATGTACCGCGCTTCCCTTAGTTGGTCCAGGATGTAGTTTATGCGGGGCATTGGGCAGGCATCCTTAGCTGACTTCGCGTTGATCTGCCTGAAGTCGACACACAGTCTCCACTTGCCTGTCTTCTTTTTCACCATCACGATGGGAGAGCTGTATGGGCTCTTTGAATGCTCTATGAACCCCATTTGGAGAAACTCGTCCACCTTTGCGTTGATTTCCCCTTGAATTTTCGGGTTCTTGGGGTAGTATCTCTGCTTGATTGGCTTGTCATCCTTCATTTTGATCTGGTGTTCTGCCATATTCGATGTTCCCGTCATTGTGCTGAAGTCTACCAGCTCTGCTTCAAGAAACGCTGTAGTATCGTCCAACTCGTTTACTTGTTGAACGACTGCTACTGATAGCTTCTCCTCGAGCCATCCATTGTGTCGGTTCCTGGCTGGTATTATTATCTCGTGTCCAGCACACCTTATCTCGGTTCCGACTTGTTTCAGGAAGTTCCATCCCAAAACTAGTGGATCCACTACTCCGGGAAAAATCAACAGGCTCATGGTCACTTGTTTGTTGCCGAATTTGACCTCCACCTCGAGCTGCGCATCAATTCCGCCGCACCTTCCATCTGCCAATCTAACTTGCCGTCTCGTCTTCGTAATCCTTCCTAGAGCAGCAATAATGTCCGCTAATTCTTCGCTAACAAAGCTTGCCGTTGCTCCGGTGTCGATTGTGGCTTTGTAGCTGTTCCCACCAATCATCACAGCTGCGGACAACTGCTGCTCCTCCTCGATTAGCTTGCCCGTTAGTTTGGAGAGGTGGCATTGTGCGATCCCCGCTCGCCTCTCTGCGGCTGAGATCACTGGCCATTTCCCGATCGTTGGTAGCAATCGACGCTCCTGGCACCCACCTTGCCCCATATCCAGCCAAATAACAGCCTCTGGTTTCGACATCCTCTAGCCCAGTGTCCGATCCCAAAGCATTTTCGACAGGCCTCCTGCGGGTCTGTGATATGGGTGGCATCTTGTGGCCTCTGTGTGTTGCTTGGCGGCCTCCACACGGTATTGTTTGGCTGTCTCTGTTGCTGTGGGGGTGGTGTCCAATTGCCTCCGCGTGGTGCGTCTGTTGCCTGCTGTCGTCTAGCTTGGTGTGGTGGTGACCATTGGTTATTTCGTCGTGTGTCCGGGTTATCTGTCTCCTCGCATCTTCTGCATGTCACCTGCGTTGGTGACGCCGACTTGGTCTTTGAGAACTTGTTCTCCTGTGCGAAAACTTCCCGTTCCTTTTCAAGTTCTTCATACTCATAGGCTAGGATCATTAGCGTATCCAGGTCCGACACTTTGTATGCTCTCAAGAAAATCCGTAGGCTTGGTGTGCAGTTCTCTTTAATGACCCTTAACGTTTCTTTCGTAGAGTAGTTAAGTGGCCTCACCATCGTCTGCATGTCGATCATGTAGTCCTTGAACGACTCGCTGAAGCCTTGGTTCCGTTGCCGGACCTGGTCCGCTAGCCTGGTGAAGAAATCTCTTGGCAGAAAATATGTGTGTAAGCTTTCTATGAACTCTGCCTAGGTTTCAAAGCCCTTCCTTTTAGCAACTCCGGCATCGCTCGAGGGATCATATCAAGATCCAAGCCGTACGTGTTGGTGGACCATTCTACCTGCTCCAGGAACTCAAATGGTTTTTCCGCCCCGTCGAACCTGAACGACCATTCGCGGACCAGTTTAGCGACCTTTGCATAGTCCGACTGGCTTGGTCTCGGGGTCAGCGCTGTTGTTTTCTTATCCTGGCTTGACTCTCTCCTGTGTGAATAGTACTCCGACAGTGCCCTCCTCATGTCTTCTAGCCTGCCCTCCAGGGCGACATTAAGCCTCTGTGCGACATGGGCGAAGTCCTCCTTCTTGAGGCGGTGAATCCACTTCTTTCCCATTTTTATTGCGCTGTTCTCACTTTTGGGACAATCACGTTGGGCGCCAGATGTAACGAACTGATTTTTGTGTGTCTGCTCGCTACGAGATTCGTGCGGCTAGATCAGAAGATTGTGTGTTCGTCCCACCAAATTTATATGACGTGATTGCCCGTAGATCAGTGAGAAAACAAAGGGTTCAGATGGTAACAGTGGGGTTTATTCTCGTGGTATTAGTACAGCGGGTGTGTGGTTGGGCTGGCTTCGGTATCTCCCGGCTCTGGTTCCGCCGGCATCTGGCGCTCCTCTTTCTGGCTCCTCGACGCGTTGACTCGGCTTCCACTGGATCCTGGGCCTCGAGACGCTCGTAGTGGCCGCCCCCGCTTGCTTGCCGACGCGCTGCCTCGGGGTCGCTTGTTGCGCCTTAGACTCGCAGAGAGTTCGGGCTTAGGCTCTAGGCCCTTGTGGGCTTAGGGAAGCGTCACCGTTCTCAGACTAGGGTGAACAAGCCTTGCTCTCCAGGCCGACGCCTTTCGAGGCAATACCTGTCCCTTGCTCTGTCCCGGACGGTCCCTCTAGGTTCTTGCTCAGTTCGCGCTGACAGTCAAGGCTGCCGCCAGGAAGCTGTCTAGCAGTTCACTTCGCTTTACGCCTAGCGCAGACGAACGTTCCACCCGGCTTCATCCTAATGCGTGACGTCCGCGACGCTCCTGCGCTCCCCAATGAGCTCCGCGCGGCGATGGTAACGTGTCTGCTGGTGTCGCTGTCGATGTCCTCTGCGCTGTCTTCTGACCAGTATCTCGTCGTTCTGGCACTCGGGGAGTTGGGCGATTGCTGTTTGGGAACTTCGCCGGTAATCGCAGGGCTCTCCAGGCGGCCGCCGAAGCTGTCGGCACGGAGTCGTACCGAAAGGGAATAGAATTCACCTACAGACTATGCGCTCTCGGATTGAAACCGCGTCCGGTCATACCCATAGCTCGCAAATAACTGTTGACCGTTTCTTCTTCTTCTTCTTGCGCTCTCGTTGCGAGCAGAACCGAAAAAGTTCACATTCTCTCGCTCTCGCTCTCGCTCTGAGCAAGAGACTCTTGCTGTCTTTATTTATGTTTCTTTGTATGTCGCTCTTTCAATGAGCAGTGCGTAAGGAGCGGAACGAGAAACGCTCGCACAATGAGAGTCAGCAAAAGACCGATTGACCGAAAAACTCAACGAAAACGGTCTTCACATTTACTTTCGTTGTTATGAAAAATAAATAATATAATTTGTTTAATAGAACAATTTAAAATTTTTTTTCAATTCACGATCGCAATTAACGATTTGCTTGCCTATGCGTGTGAATGTATACCAATACATACGCAAAAGACCTTTTGCTTCACTGAACACCACAAAACGGTCTTGGAACAACCAGAACAAAACAGAATAGAAAAAAACGGTTTCGCTCTGAGCACGAGCGAGCACATTCAAGAACCCATAAATCGGTTGCTCTCTGAGTCTTTTCGTAAAGAGTCCGAAAAATACACTTATTTGCAGACAGCGAGAAACGGTCAACAGTTACTTGCAAGCTCTGGTCATACCTAATAATAAGAAGTAAACGTGTCTTGATGTATTAGTGAGTTTATGAATTAAGGTCAATCACCAATAAAATAAAATTTTAAAATAAAAATTATACTTTTTTATAACGAATAAAACTAATTCGCACGCATATCTTGCTTTAAGTATTCTTGCGTTCATTAGAACTTTACATGGGTGTTGGAGACTAGGCAGAGGGAAAGCCGTAAAACTACTTGTTTAAACAATTTTATTTGTTTAGACATAGTAAAGAAATTTTTTTAATTTGAAACCAGTTTTGCCCTTTGAAAGAAATGTATTAAAGCTGTTTAAGATTGGCAAATGAAATATTTTTTACATGACTATCAGTGTATATTATAAATAATTTATATTTAAACGAATCTCATTTTCCCCATCAGCTGTAAATGTATACACACACAAATGCGTACAAGCTATCCAACCCGTAAAGCGGTTCCACTTATGGAATTAATAAACAAATTTTTTAATTCAATCTCAGCTATATTGCCCTTGCCTTCAGCGACATTGCTTTTACCTTTGTTTAAGATTCTGCCTTTGCCTTTTCCAATAACTTCGAGGGCCGCACTTGGCTGTCCTGCTAAGATAACAATTTCAATTCAATCAAATTACGAGGGACAAACCGGAATAGGAAAAAATGGGGGGACTTGGTTAAGGAGGCTTAAACGAATCTGTTTTATCCTGTCAGCTAAAAATGCATGTATACACACAAAGACGCACGCATTTCTTGTTTTCAGTTTTCTTATTTTTTTATTAGTTTTCCACCTGGATTAGATTTATGCTCATTTATTTTATTTATCATTTATCCTCATTTAAATATAGATATAGATGTAAATAATCCTGGAAATATTAAAAAAAACTTGTATACATGTATAAGGTCTATTAAATGACTTATATGCTAACTTAAATATACTTAATACTTATATGTATATCCAGATGTCTACACTCTCCCTCTCCATCTCTCCCCAAAGTCGCAGCTCCGCTCTGGAGCGCTTAAGTTAAGTTAAGCTTAACTAGTTCTTATTTCAAAGTGTACACCTATGCACGTCGCGCAAAAAACCCCAAAGTACCCCCGTGTTTTTTGCGATTCTTGGGACTTTAGCTATTTTCAGCGATCAGGCCACCCCACCCCAACAACCACAAATGGAGCTATGCACCGCATTCATACATTTAAGAAATAGGTGACTAATATGCTTTTAAACTTTCGACTTATATAACTCTATTTCCTCTCTTAATTTATTTGCAGGCGAAGCTTTTTTTTATACATTTTTCAAATTGAAAACTTAACCAGTATATATAAAATGCATTATCAAAAGATTGTTTTCGTATATTTGAATATTTTATTATAATGTCAATTATATATGTTAATATAAGAATGTGTTTTTTGATAAAATTGGATAAGTAGCAGCGTCCGAATCGCTTTTGAGAAAAGACAATCTCAATAATTTATGGATATGGGCAAATAATTAATTTTAAACAGCATCAGCGGGACTTTGGAATTCAGACAATGCGTGTATAGGGTTTTGAACCTTTTTTTGAGACCCCTTGCGAACTTTTGCTCTAACTTCCTCCGGTTTTTCAGGTCTAACCAAAGGTTTTTTTTCTGGAGCTTTCATTTTCCATACTACAATTGGAGACTACAAAATAAATTCAAATTATTAAATCTCCATGACCTATTTTAATGACGAAACTTACAGACACAGTTCCTTGCCTTGTATATTTCGTCGAGGCCACATATGAGTATTTTACTGTTAATACAACCGCATTCATTAAATTTTTGGCGGCTTGAATCAACGATGTTGCGCTATCCAGCTAAAATAATTATGAATATCAATGATATTATTATTACTTTTATATTATATTCAAATGATTCTTACCCCAGATACTATAAGTTCTCCACTTATATTTTGAACGTCAGCCTTTACTTTTGACGTTATTTGGATTTGATGACAATATAGGGCAATACGTTGTAAATAGGCAAGCAAGTCCTTTTTTGTGCTGCTTTCTGGACATTGTTCTGCAATTTCTCTGGTAAGTTTATCCAGCTTTGTACCAGCTTCTGATATTTTCTTAGCTGCATTGATAACATCCATAGTAGTTTTTAACGGTCCCCGTCCTCTGCAATTTAGAATCAAAAATTATTTACGTATCGCATGTCTATAAAATGTTAAGTATAAATAATTTCTAAAATCATATCATTTCAGTTCATGATTTGTTGGTATAAGGCAGAGGTGCTCAAAACTGTCTCAGTATTTGGTATACATACGTCCTAAGGTCTATTTTTCTGTGGTCAACAATAAATAACACCGCTTATTGGTTTGCTTTAGTTACTATTAGAATGTTTTACAGAGACAAAGAATTTCCTAGTGTTAACATCATCATTATTGAAGGAAGGAAGCGTTTTCGACCCCATAAAATATATTTATTCTTGATGACGATTACTAACCGAGTCGATCTAGCCATGTCCGTCTGTCCGTCGGAAACAATAAGAGCTAGAAAGTTGAGATTTGGTATGTAGATTCCTGCGCGTCTCTGTTAGTTCGGACTATCCGGACCCTTTTATCTGGATGGCAAGTGTTAATAAAAACATTCCCTTTACTAGCCTCAGTCAAGTGTAAACCTAAAATGTTGTATGCAGCTTTCTTTTGACGGATACACTTCCATGGCTTATTTCTGTCATTGCTTCTTGAAGCAGTTGCGACACGCCACGGTTGGATTTATTTATGTAGTTAATTGTATAACTACAACAGGCGTAAGCATCTAGGATAAATTGAATATCCATGTTTGCTCTATGCAAGCCTTAAATATTTCTATCATAAGCATTCAGCAACCTATCAGAAAACTGGGGACGAAGAAATACTTGGGTCTTTTTTAAGGTAGACCGAATGGCGAACTTGTACTGCTCATATGAAATTTCAAGAGGGCTGAGAAAATATTCAAAATTATTAAACATGGCCGATTCTTCTTTGGAAACGGACTTTAAGAGCTATTTACCTTTTTTAAATATTTCGTTATATTCTTCAACTTTGGATTCGTTTTCTTTAAATGGATACAAAACCAGAGTTTCAGGCATTGATGGGTATGGCATATTAGACAAGAAAGAAAGTTAGCTTCGGCAAGCCGAAGCTTATATACCCTTGCAGCTATAATTATTAAATTTAAAAACACAAAAATGATATTCTCAATAGTATAAGATAATATGTCAGAAAACACCGACTCTATAATTTGTTTCATATTATTTTCCCACAAATTTTCCGATCGCTCCTAAGGCAGCTATATAGGATATAAAATAAATTTAATTCGAAATTCAAAACTAATTAAAAAATGTTATTTCCAAGCTTAGGAGGTTATATGTTAAAAACGACCAAAGATATAATTTTTAAATATTTTTTTTTTTCGCCTATTCCTATGGGAGCTATAGGTATAGTTGTCCGATCCGGCTGGTTCCGAACTAAATACTACCTTCAAAAGATATAAGACTTTTGAGAAAGTTTCAGCCCGATAGCTTCGACTTCCATTTTGTATACGTTCGCTACCGCATGTTTTTTGCCAATATTATGAAAATTATAGCTCAATAAACCCCATAATTTACACTAAGCAAAGAGCTAAAAAAATTCTATCGAATAGCAAAAAAAAAAAATTCCGAAAACGTTTATTTAATTATTTTTATTTTTTGGTACAAAGTGCGTACGAACGTACGTTCGAGACCTCTGGAAATGCCCATATGTAATATTGTACCTGGTACAAGCATTTTGCCAAGGCGCCTGAAGTGTGCAAATTTAATTTCTCACTAGTGAATTGATTAAAAAAATGTATTTTTATTTTTAACAATCACTTATTCACTATTACAATTTTTCAATAGGTCGAACTTATTTAATTTACTGGTCTTGTACTTTTTCTCGAATTGTTCTACTTCTCGATTCGGATCTCAAAAACGGTCTGCCTGCTCTCTAGTTCAATGATCAATAATCAAACCTCGGCTTAAGAGATTTTATCCCCAAAAATTGATAAAGAGAATGACTCAAGAGAGTCGAAAAATAGGATGATGCAATTTGCCAATTAAATTCGAAGTCCAATCTTGGCCGGAAATTGGTGTATACATTAGCGGAGTTTAGGGACCGCTTTGGGGATCTTTTTTTTTACGCTAGCGGACTCGGGGCTCGCTTTGGGGTTTTTTTGTTTACGTAGCGGGCTCAGGGCTCGTTTGGGACTCCGATTGTTTACAATATCGGTTTGGATGTTTACAGCATCCGTTTGATTCGGACTGCGTGAAATTGATCTGGGTGGGAATGATTTGGAGGTCTGGTTGACAGAAATAGCTGACCACGGATTTCTCTCGGGTCTGTCAGAGTTATTTGGATATTAGCTCTCGGCTCAAAGTTTTTTATAAACTGGGTAAGAGCCCCTAAATAATGTGTCATAAAACTCCCCTCATTCTAAATTGAATCGTCCCGATTCATTGGAACTGATGGGTATATTGAATGTAATTGATTGGTTAATTCGACAATGATATTTTCTTCTAGGGTATTTTCATTGTCGGGGGTATTATTTATCTCAATATCGGAAATATTGCTTTCTGGTTCGATTTCTATACGAATTTGCCATGGTTTGAATATTACAAATTTTCTGAATTTGATTATAACAATAATAATTAAATATATAAATGTGAATATGATTAATATTAACGTAACTGGTATTTGAGTTTGTTTAATTTGAATAAATGGATTTAGTATGTTAATATTCTCAAATGAGAGTTCCGATATAATAATATAATATAATATATTCGGATATTAAAAAATCTGTATATTTTCGAGCTGTGATGTATTCCAATATCTAATTGTCTACATTGGTGTAGGAAATATTATTAATTACAGAGGTGCCATTAACTGTATTTTCTCTATATACAAAAATGGCTCCATCTTGGATTACATCAACATTTTTATTTTTTTTCTCTGATTTTGTTACAAAAAGATTTTTCTCCATTTAGTAATCTGGTGAAACAAGAACCTTCTGGGTTAAGTGTGCAATAAGTATTAAATATTTCTGTCTTAAAATTTGACATTACATAGTACTTATTTCTACATTTTGCGACGTGATTATCAATTAATAATTTTCCATCATCATGTGAAATGGATCTTGAATTGTAAACGGTCGGTAATAATGGGGTATTTTATGTAAATTATAATAAGATCTTGATGCAAAGCGATTTTAAATTCAGATATATCTAAAAAGTCTATTATAATTACAGGTCTATCTTCGTGTTTATAAATTTCTTGTATATCGTCATTGTTTAGAATTTTAGTATTAAATACATCAATTTTGGCGAGTGTTATTGTGTCCATTAAATTCATAGGATCGTAAGTAAGCAAGCGCAGACGATATTTTCTAAGCCGAATTTCTTGATCTTTAAAGGCTGTTTTGAATTCTTCAGATAAAGATTTTATCTCTTTATATATTTTAGAGTTAATATCGAATTGTTCGTTATTATTTTGTATTAAATCATCGATTTAATTTTGGACAGTTATGAAATCATCATGATCTGGTGTTCCCGCTATCCATTTCCAAATAGTGCCTACTTCATTACTGCCTCTTTTCGATCTACTGGGTATAATTTGGGAGATAAGTATTTGGATAATTTTTAAATCGTGGGATATTTCCCAAAGAAAATTGTTGCTGTCGTGACTCTTTAGAAATTCTGTTTCAAGACTAATTATATCTCTATAAAGACTTATATTAGTTATATGAAATAAATCTGCGTATGATTCATAAATAAGAACATCTTTGGTATCCTTGTAAAGAAGGAAATCATGGTTCGAGTAATCCATAATTTCGGATTTGGTTGTAGCTACCAGCAATAATAAGTACATTATTGAAATCATTATCTGTAATTTGAAACAAATTATTTAATATTATCTTTATGAATCGTACGGTTTCTGTTATTTATAATAACTTTATTAGGGAGCTTTTCCTTAACTACTTGTTTTTTGTATCTAGAATTAAGCTTGCTTCTTTCCCCATGTTTCTTTTCGTATATTACCTCTCCTACGTGATAATTCTTATTTTGTCTATCTTTATTGTGGAAATGCAACATTTTCTCTTGAGCTTGTTGCAATAATTTAGAAATATCTTTGTGTTTGATTTTATTAAGTAGTATGTCAAAAGGTCGGTGGTTGGTTATTGAATGAATTGTTAAATTATATTTTTGTGCTGCTTTAACTATAATTTCCTTATAATCAATTAGATTAAGCTCATCTTTAATGCAGCGAGCAATTTCTGTTAAAGTATAGTGTGCCTTTTCTATTTGTCCGTTGGACGTACTATGTCGAGGATCTGCAAGGAATAGAGATATCCCATGTCTTTGAGCAAAAGATTTGAATTGGGATGAAGAGAAACTTGGGTCGTTATCTATCATCAAAGATTTGGCTAATGGAAATTGTTGTAAAATTTCTGAAACTTTATTTTCTATATTTAGTTTATTTAGGATTTCTTTTACGACCAAATATTTCGAATAGGAACCTATACAAGTAATGAATATAAGATTTTGGGCGTAATATATGTCAAGACGCAAATTTTCACCTTCTCTTTCTGGAATAGGCGCGTGACCGATAGGAATCTGTACTGGGTGTCTGTTGTATTTGTTTTGATTGCAGATTGTGCAATTCTTTATAAACTCCTTAAGCTTTTTGTATAAATTAGGCCAATAATATAGTCTAGTTATTTGTTTATAATTTTTATCAAGCCCTCTATGAGCTCTACAATGAGTTTCTGTGAAACTGTCTTCAGCGTCTTCGACATCCTGGACAAATGTCTAAGTGTATAAAAATGTATTTATAAAATTGTCTTTAAGTGGTTTTAGAGTTCTATAAAAATCTTCTAGAGTACAGTGAACTCCTATTGTTATATTGGGTGGAATATATTCTCTTAATATTGATATTAAATTTTCTGGAGTGTCATACTCTATTATATGTCTAGTATTTCCGAATACATTAAGGGGGGCACTCTATGAAATGGGTTCAAAAATTCGATTTTTTTTTATTGCTTTAATCGATAGATATATTATCTGAGAACATAATTGCAAAGTTTCAAAGTCGAATTCCTATTACTTTCGGAGATATAATTTCTAGAATTTGCTCGTGCAT